TTTGACGAGACATGTAATTAAATAACTTGTATGTTTAATTGCTGATTGCGAGATATATCACAATGAAAACGGTACACTCACTCCAGGCTAACAACAATTCAATCGTAGAAAATTGTTTCATCAGTAACCGGGAGAGTTATTTAATTAAAACTAGAGCGAGTAACTCGTAAAACTAAGCCGAAATCTTTGTCGTCGGCGGCGGCTTCTACGAAATTACTCGCCAACTTTCGTCCAACATAGACCTACACTCAAGTTTTAACTACACTTTACCAGATTATGCACGGAGTAATATACAGTTGTAATATTCAAAATTGGATAATATATAGATACAAAATAAGATTTAAATGAAGTGTATAGGGTAGGTTACGTTAAGTTATATTCTTAATATAATTAAACAATGAAGTAACTTTATTGATGATCAAGGTGTACCTATATGTAACTGTAATGTATTTAATTAATAAGGCATTAGTATGTTATGTAATGAGTGAAGGTATAAAATAATTTAAACTATAAATATTTAAAAAAAATAATGATTTTAAATAATTAATTAACAAAATTAAACAAATTAATTCAATACCGTAATTTAAAGTATCAGGTAAGTACAAAAAAGTTTATTACATAACTTGAAATAGCAAGCTGACGGCCCATGCACCTGATGAAAAATGGTAACTGTGAATACTTGCCAAAGTTTTGCTGTAAAACTCTTTTTTTTTCTGAAAGTGTACGTAGGTGCCCTATAACTAAATTCTGTCGTCACACACGACCCGTAAACCTTTTTCTCCCATTAGGGAAAATGTACGTGAGGCAAAATGTTACCCAACTAGTATAGTACATAAATACTAGTATATAGCTAAGATGCACAAATATACCTAAGCTTAATTGTATTGGAGTAATGTGTTTAATAATGTTTTTATAATATCATCATAATAAATATTCCTTATTCTCATAATATTACCATCTCAGTCTAAATAACTCTTTCCCTCACTGTTATAATACCATAATATTCAGATTAGTCCGGCTTGCATTCACACTTTACACTTTACATTTGTACACCATAACTATAATAACCTTTTAACGTCTTAATATTGGACACAACTCCTCATAAGAAAATAATCCACTACTAATGCACTTGTTACTTAGTATAGAGTTTTAAATCAAGATTACCTTCTTTTACATCGATTTGTGCAGCATCAATAACTGCACGATACTTGAACATTTTCCATAATAATAAATGACCTTAAATTAACTACAAATATGTAGATAAAATTCAAGCCATTATGCAATTAATATATAATACAAAATAATATGGGGCATTTTAAAAAGCGTGCCTACAAATATTTAAAAGGCCGACAACACAAAGCAACTCCTCTCGTGTTGCAGATGTTCATGAGCAACGGTAGCCGATTTCCATCAGGTGGACTGTCTGCTCGTTCGTCTCGTTCGATTATTTATATGCATATATGCATATTTCTTCATATGCACTAGTATTCACCGAGTTAAAAAGTAGTCTTCTCAAATAGTATGTGAATACAAAACTTCGTGACGACTGCTTCCGTTGTTAAAGCGCCAAGAAGTAAGTTTCTGTTTTCACTCCACTGTTTCCACTCGGCTGCTTATGGTTTCACGTTATAGAATCTGAATTTAGATATTTTACCTAAGAAGAAAATTGTTTGTATTATATTATATATGTTGTATGTTGTTTAACGTAATTCACTCCTTGAAACTGGTATTATTATTCATTAATTAAAAAATATATATAACCAAAAATAAAAAAGAATTACAATTAAAAAAAAAATTATGCAACTTTAAATGTCAAACAAGCTAACAGTCTACCTGATGGAAAATAGTAACCGTCGCCTATAACATCAACAGGACCATAGACATAACAGAGTATGGGTACAAGACTGTGTCGCTCGGGATAATACCCGTTAGTAATGGCATCTGAGGACAAAGATGTGATGCCTCTGTATCATGTAATTTCACTACCTGTACCTGTATTAACGGCACTACATAGTACAAGGTACGTATATACATAATATTATGTAATGCCAATGATACAGATTTTATTTTTATTTTTGGGTAATATAAAACCTTTTTTTCTATGAAAAACAATATTTTTTAAGAATAGTAACACCAGTTTTAACGAATGTGTTACGTTAATATATATTTTATGTGCAATCATTTAAGTATTATTATCTTGAAAGTCTTTAATATGATGTAATCACTATAAACCCGTTACAAACGAACCTGGCAGCGAGAATTTTTAAAATTTTTGTCAAAATATTTTATTCTATGAACTTGATGTAACATTTAACCTGCTCTCTACTTTTCCCCTAATGAGAATACACTAAAGTGAACACAAGTAAAACGACCCGGTGAACATTAGATGTATCAAACATTTTAAAGACTTACTTTTTCTATCTTGTTAGTATAACTAGATACTAATACAGTGTCAACTACGATCATATTTTTGTTTAAACCGTTTAAAATTATGTTTTTAAATAGAATAGACGATTCGTGAGCCCGCGAGCACCACCTTAGATCATCGGTTTCATTAGGTTAGTTCGTGATCAATCGCGGGACTCTTCAATAGTAAAAAAAGCATATTTCATCATCATCATCATTTCAGCCATTATCCGTCAAAAACATATTTGATCCGAAGTAATTATCTGAAGATATTCGCAAAAAATGTTTTATTATAATAAATATGTCAGCGTCATCGAAAAGCAACGATGTGCATTGAGAGTGTCTTCTGAGAATAATGAACCTCCCGATCGACCTACTAATGATATATGATAATCACCACTTATAACAAACATGATGATCCAATTAATATTATAATAAGCTATTTTTATAAGTCATCCTTGTAACTGAAAAACAATCTGATACTACAAAATCAATACTCATAGTTTAATTAAAAATAAACTAATGTAGAAACTATTTGTCAGAACATTAAAACAGCCAACGAGAGCAGGAGTTAGTCGACTAACTGAAAATTGCGGCCGGCCACGTCGGTTGCCAAACGAACTGTGAAAATAATGGGCACAGAGTAATGGTCGCCTTAAATCGACTAATGCACTCCGACTTTCTCAGCTCGCTCGATTTCCGACGTGTTTTTCCAACTTTTAAATGTCATATCCGCTGGGTCATAAAGTAGGTAAACATGTTATAAATAAATATGAGATAAGACGCCTACGTAAATGCTAGTTATAAATATTCAAAGACCATTGCCACCATATAACACCGTCCTTACGACGAAAATTAAGTTTGTTACTTCAGTTAGTAACAAATTTGTGTTTTAAAGTAACTTAAAAAAGAAGTGTAAACGTAGCAGAAGGTGTTTTTAGATTATTATTGTCTTTTCTATTTACTCGATATTTTGCATTCATTAGTATTATTGTCTTACTCTGTTCTTAAATAATTCCAGCAGACATTGTAATACTGACTTAATTGAAGAGATATTTAAAAAAAAATTAAGTAGGTTATCATAATTAATAACATTTTAATACAGTTGATTATCATTACTTAATAATTATTTTTCGCCTTTAATTCCAGCAAAGACCCCATAGTCCAATGATAATGTTATCGGACTTATAAGTATACATAATAAACTATACTGACCTCACGGCTTTGTCCACGTGAATAAGAATAAAATAACATTTATTTGTATGTATAATATGTATATTTTTTAACCTTGCGTTCAAATCTACAAATAATACTAGTTTAGTTTTCTAGCCGAGAACTACCAAGAAGCTCGACTATTATTGTTTTAAAATCAGTTTCTTAACATAGTGGGTACATATTTCTCTGGTTGACTAATGATTGACTGGTGAAGAATCTCATCCAGTGTTAAGGTCGCCAAATGTACATTAAAATAAAACAAATAAATAAAATTATATTTATTTAATTTTAGATAAGAAGATAAATCAATATTAAAAATATAAACAACAATAAACTTTAATAAGAATTTTTAATCTACATTTCGATTTTTTTAATTTATTTAAATTTTGCAGTGTTAAAGGTACCTTTCCCAAAAAATGTGTGTTAAATAACAATAAAATTTTTTAACCTTATCTTGACGGTTGGACGCGCTCGGAAGGAATAGAGAGTAAAAACTTTTTATCGTTTTGTCCAGTTTTCTTAGTAGTATACCCTTTTTAAAGAAGTCTAATGATTTCTATTTTAGCATGGATACTGAAATATTGTACACATATTTATAGAATACAAAAGACATTAAGGTTTTACAAATTAATACATACTATGAATAGAAACTGAACTTGGAGCAAATAACTATGTGGTTTTGTCATAATACATTTGTACGTCTAGAGATAGAGTTAGGTTACCAACAAACTATTTCCTCAGTGTAAACACTCCGGAAATTAAAACCAGAGAAAAGTCTCCCGGGACATTAACTCTACGAGAGAAAGGGATTTCATTTAAAATTGTTCCGTGGTTTGTGTTATTTACTTGTGGATGAATAAGTGTGAACGCTTTCCGCCACTCGGACCAATAACGAAACGAAATGCTAAACATTTTACAAATATTGCGTACTTATTTAATAAAGGGTACTAAACGGTAATAATAAATATCACTGGGCATATTTCATTCCATATATGGCCATCTGTTCCTAAACTAGGCAAATCATGTACTATCAATATTAGGCAACTGACAGACTGCATACTTTTATTTAACACTTAAATAACTTTTTATGATAAAACACACTGATAACGCACACACATTAGATTGAAAATATATTAATATAAAATGCAGTACTTCATTGTAAATATCGCTTCACAATGAGCAGTTTACAACTGCTAGTTTCAATTACTATAAAATTTGGGATGAAACTCGAATATCAGCCCTATCGGTAGATATAATTGTCGTAATTATTATCATAAAACAAAATACTATAATACAAATTGAAAACATTCTCCTTTTAGCAATAACACGAGTTATAACTAGTAAATTATAGAAACAATTATAATAATAATAATAATAATAATAATAATAATTTTTATTTCAGACTTTTTGGTCCATTAAATATTTATTAGTAACAATATTCTTAAAAACTAATGTTAGTAAATTTACATACACAATACACATACACACACATACACACATACAATATATTAAGTAGTATACAGATAATCACCGCTGCACAATTCCATTGGAAATTGCGCAGCAGTGATTAACGTACACACAGTCCAGCCTGCTTGCTATCATACTCAGGATGCTGTTGGTGCTGGCACGTACTCTGCGCACCAGAGACGCACACCTTTTTCGCATCGTGGCATAAAAACAATCTACACGATGCTCAGCGAACATCCCTGACGCGCTGCAGAATCGTGGCAGCCCCATCAACACCCTGAACGCGTTATTATATTGGATACGGAGGTCGCTGTAGGATTTTTGAGTATATACAGCCCACAGGTTGCATGCATAGAAAGATGTGCAATGTGATCTAAATAACGTAATTTTAACTTGTCTAGAGCACCGCGCAAACCTGCGTGCTATCATATTCGCCCTCACCGCCAGCGCCCTCCGCTCCCGTTCAATGTCATCATCATCTTTGAGATCCGAGGCCAATTGATGTCCTAAATATTTAAATTTATATACCCTCTTCAGCGCTATACCCTTAAGTTTAATATCTGGAAAGCCCATTGAGTTTTTGCCTCTGCTCTCAAAGACCATGACCACACTTTTCACAGCATTGTATATCAGTCCGTGGCATGCAGCATATGACTCGCAAATAGCCACGAGTTTTTTAAGCCCACATATCGACGCGCTGAGCAGCACCATGTCATCAGCATAACTTATATTATTAACATTAATGCCGTCTATGTGACAGCCGACACGGGTACCACTCAAAGCAACAATCAGATCATTAATATACAGATTAAATAGTACCGGCGAAGACAACCCTCCTTGCCTCACACCACACTCCAATCTGTATGACTGCGACATAGTCCCCGCCCATCGCACGCTGTTGAGCTGATTTCCATACCAATATTTGCAGATATTTATGAGCTCTGATGGTAATTGAAAATTTTCGAGCTTTTTCCACAAGATGTCATAAGAAACCAGATCAAAAGCTCTCGACAGGTCGAGGAAGCATGCATGGACTGGCGTTTTTCGATTTGTATAGTATCTAATAGCATGCTTAACACAAAGAACAGCGCTTTCAGTTGACAGTCCAGTTTGAAAGCCAAACTGGTTGTCATGAAGTTTTATATGCTGAGTCAGTCGAGAGTTAAGCATGCTATCAAACACCTTTGAGACAACAGTAGCTAAGGAGATTGGCCTATAATTATTTTTGTCTGTTATATCAGAAATTTTATTCTTAACTACAGGTATCACCACTGTTCTAATCATCTCCTCCGGCATGTACGAGTGACTTATACAAAAGTTAAAGAGCATTGCCAACAGTCTCGCCAAGTGTGGCCCAGCATGTTTTAGATGTTCAATACTGAGACTGTCGTGTCCTGGAGATTTACCTCCACTCATAGATTTTATAATTCGATCTACTTCACTAGCAGTACATCTAATTTCCACCACACGTCCAGTCTCAACATTCAACTCCGCACGCGATGGCCCCAAAGGGGATTTAACAGTAAAATGATCCTTAAAAAGATCAGCTATGTTCTCGGCATTACTTACGCCTTCAATAGACACAGGAAGGGCAGACTTTGTACTAAGCTTCCTCGTAGCCTTCCAAAAAGACCGAAAGTCATTATTAGAATGATGTGAAGCTAGAATATCCATCTTTATTTGTTCTTCGTGGTCTTGACACCACTTTAGACGTTTCTTAAAGTATCTTCTAGCCTCACACATATCATTATAGATGGAGCCAACTCTAGGTTTACCATAATCACACCAAACATGAAATTTCTGCCTGGCATTCCTGTGTGCCTCATTAACATGTTTATTCCAACCTATTACAATTTTCTTTTTCTTACGCTTACAATGTGTGTTATTTCTACTAGCTACAGCCGCTCTCTTTAGTACATTTATTATATCATTATACAACTTATCAATGACCTGTCTATGTTGTATAACATTACAAGTCTGATCGGCACAGTTATGGAACTCGGATGGAAACTTAAGAAGTTTGAAATGAGAATGACACTCATTATAATATGAGTCGATTTGTTCTATGCCTCTGTCACCCCACAAAACATTGTTACGTTCACATTTTACTTCTTCTATCTTAGGTGGAACTACGTCTAAATTACACTCAAGAATCAGCGGAAAATGGTCTGACCAGAGTATGTCATATTGTATGTGCACTCTACGTACAGAGGACACAGCCGCTTTCGATACTATACAATGATCTAGCCACCGCTGCGACCCATGAGCTTCACTCACAAACGTAAAACAGTTCGATGAACCCTTCAACATTTCTATATCTATACAAGTCCATTCCTGTTCCTCACAAAATATAGATAATTCCTTAAAGAATGATTCTGTGGGATGAGCATTGAAATCGCCCATAATATAAACACAATCCACATTATTACTGTCTATGATTGCACTTACCGAGCCGAGAATGTCCGTAAATTCCACTAAGTTTGTAGACATATCGGTAGGCATGTAGACACTCATCACTAGGATTGACCGCCCTTTTAACATTATTCTTATCGCACATATGCGGGGATTATCACATGGCACTACTACAACATTGGAAAATACACTGTGCCGCCAGAGGATCGCGACACCACCGTGCGGTCGCCCGCGCAGTATTCCCTCCGTTGTATCGATCGCCGACGTTCCCGTAGATGTAAACTCGCAATCTATGCTGCACAAATATGATAGGTCACTCGGCAATAACCACGTTTCTTGCAGGGCTATGATATCCGATCTTTTACATAATTCCCGTATCCCTTCTACAGAGCGCTTCACATTCTTACAATTGAAGGTAACAAAGTTGTAGATCCCACTATCCATAATTTTGGTGTGTAATGCCGTCAATGGAAATATGTGCGTTTCCAGTCGATTTTTTTAGTTTAAAATTAATAAACCGTCGAAAAATTATCCCTTCTGGCCATATATTCTCATCCAAAAACAACGAGACTTTGTTTTGTGCTACAAAGAATTTGAATGCATTGTAATCACATTGACGCTTAATGGATATTTTCTCTAATGCTACTGTTTCTTGTGTCATCTTACAAATGTATCGAACGATATCTGATTCTGACGTATTTTTATGCACATTAGTAATAAACAGTGGTATTTTTCTCTCAGCAGCTCTAAACATCTCATCTGTTCCGATTACAACTGTCCCTAATTTTCCTTCAATGCGTCTATTTTTTTTTCTTTTCTTCTCGACGATTGTCCATTCATTATTAGACCTTACGGCACCTGCATAAGATTCAACAAGTGTTGTACCTACTTTGCCGACCGTTCGCTGCGTGGACTGCCGGTTACATGTCAACAATGACTCATCGCGTTTCGTATTGTCGGTTACACGGCTATTTTCAGTTTCAAACGTTTGATGGAACGTTGCATCGATAAGTGTATCACTACTACCCTCCGGATAATTTGTGTTTATATTTATATTTCTATAATGTAAATTATTATCCCGTGTAGAAGACATTTCACCACTGGATTCATCTTCATGATTACTTATAGTAGACTCATCCATAACCGATAAAGCTATAGGGCCGCTGTCACGATAAGCACCTCTTTTTATGTTTTTTTATATTATAATCATTGCTGTAAACGCTGAAAAGGTAAAAAATTTTATTGCATAACAAAACTTTTTGTAATCAACTTTTTCTATAAGCCATTTCAATGTTTTAAGCGCACAAATATTTAATAGATAATTTGAATTTAGATCATTTTTGAAAGTTTTATTAAACTATAAGATAAAAAATTACTTTACCTACTTACTAATATGTAGGTATTGTAATATGTTACACAATACATTGAAAGCAGGAGTGCTGAAGGTTCAAACTTTGCAGACGGTAGAACGCCTGGTGAGTGAAAAAGTTTCTGCAGTGAACAATTTGTTAAGACTTTAAATAAATCCGATTCATTTGTAAACACAGGCATATAGAGATAGACGACACAATTACTTGAATTTATATAAAAACTAAGCAGCTACTAAATTACATTTCTAGATATTGCAACTATAAATAGTCAATTCTATTTTGCACTAAACGCTTTCGAAAATGCCATCTATAATGTTGTTTATGTAAATACTAAAAATTTTTTCAACAAAATTTTTATATAGAAAAAACAGAGAAATGATAAAAGATTTAAAACTTTAAAAAAGGAACAAATACTTTGAAATCTGAAACCTAGATTTTGCGATGAATTATTAAAACATTAAATTTTTCTCTTGTTCATGCCTTGAAACTTATGACTCTAACTAGCTATTACAATTATGCAGTCCTTTATATTCTCAAATCTTTACTAATAATACTATAAATGTGAAATTGAGTTTGTTTGTTTGTTACTTTATTGCGCTTTATTGGTATAATCAATTACAAAAGTAACCTATACCAAATATACTACTTTTTATCTTGGTAAAGTATTTTCACATATTTAAGCGTTTCGTGCAACCGGAAAAACAAAACATCTTACGCTAATAGGTAAACTAAAAAAAGTACTCACAAAGGTCAAACCATTTCCTCAGAGTTTAACTAAAGATAGCTAAGTAGAAAAACGACTTATATTAGCCAAAGAGTACAATAGAACGGGGACCGAACAATTTAATTACATTCGCGGTCTCATTCACTCGCAACTTGTCTTTTTAAGACTCGACTATCTAGATCTTGAGAATAAGTTGGCGTAGAAAACTCTTCTAATTGCATTCTGGAAAATGCAATACAGATGTACGCAAACAGAGCAATAATTGAATGTATTAGGACATAATTAAGTATGTATTGAACTTGAAGGAAATACCTCGTAGTTAACCCTTTAGGTATCTCCTGTAGTGCTGGAAATGTACAAATTTGACCGCTTATTGGTGTTTAAAAAAAAGTATTTGCCTCTATTGTATGACTAGCTATCAGGAAATCTGACTTTGCAGATGACTTTCCTGAAAGTCAAATTTACATCATAATACTTAAGATAAGTAAAAATCAACCTTGCATGTCTTTTTATCAATTTTAGTAATTAAAATGAAAAAAAGTAACATAAGTATGACATAACAAACAGAAAGTATTTATAATTCAAGACAATTTATCAAGATTTAACAAAATTACTTCCTGATGTTGTTGAAATAATGATAAAAATATTAACTAGTAAAAAATATAAATAAATACGTCTTCGACTATCTCATAAAAAAATGTGTATTAATAATGCAATGTAAAATCTTGAACAAGTAGACAGTTTCTAATACAATAGAAGATATTTAAAAAATATATAAAAGCATTTGATAATACGAGTAAGTACTCCTTCTAGTAGAATTTTTAACTCTAAATAGTTGCCATCAAGCGTAAATTGTATGAACAGTGGACATATTTGAACTAACGCACTCAGTCTGAATAGCTTAAGGTTTAAGTATGTAAACCATTGTTAGCCTTGTAAAATATTTTTAAAATATATATAATTACAATTGTACTAAATCTCTATATTTTTGTTACAGTAATACAAACATAACATCACATGTAAGTAAGGCGTGCTGAATTCCAGGTGTATTCATCGCGATGAACTAACTGATCTGCCTTTTCATTTTCACGTATCACCTCTCACTGGTGCTCCGCCAGTATATTCCGTCAGCGCAGACGGGTTAATATTCCATTATGATCCATTAAAAAAACAGACCTAAGTGCAGATATATTTACCAGAGAGAGACTTTGTACAAAAGTCGTTTGCTTGGGTACCTCTGTCCCATTCGTGTTTCAACCGTAAAGCAGTTGTGTTTGCATGGCTGTATTTCGGTTTGAAGGGTGGGATATGCTAGTGAATTTACAGGGTACAGAGAAATAACACCTAAGTCCTCAGGAATGGAAACGCATGGGGGGTATCATGGGCGAAACAGTATACTCTGTTATGTCCATGGTACTGCTCTTGTTTATAGACGACGGTTACCATTTTCCATCAGGTGGGCCGTCAGCTTGTTTGCCATTCTAAGTTGTATAAAAAAAAAAGATAGGTGAGGATAAATTGAGTTAGTTGAAGTTTGTTACTTTAACGGCTTAACCAAGCGTTTGGTATAAATCTAGTATTAGATGGGGATAAACATGGCCTATTTTTATCATGTATTATATTTACAGATACAGAAACAATTGCTTTTTTAATAACGCAATCGTGTTTTCTTTAAATAGCAATTATTTTAAGCATTAATACTACAAACTAGTATTATTACTAGCGAATTGTCACCAATTTGTATGGACGTGATTCAATATTATTTCACGGAAACATATCGCTGAAATGAAAAATATTTTATTAAACAACTTCGAAGAAAGAAGTACTCTATTCACCTATATATACACACAAAAGATATGCGTCTGAATATATATTATTTATATATTACTAGTAATACTTCCGAAATACGTAGATAATTCTTTCTGGATTATTTATGTACCTACTTCATTGTCATATTTATCATCAACTATGAAGGTTGAGACCACGGCGAATTGGCGACAATAAATATTGGAAAAAATGAATCTATCGCGATAAATTCAGCAACTCTAATACATATACATAGTATTTGTTACTCACGAAACATTAATATCGATGGACAGCCGTCAGACATAAAATACAGCAAAATCCCATTACTAAAATGACGTTTACATTATTTGCCAATTATTTATCAATGATAAAGAGTAAACGTAATATGTTATATGTGTGTAGAATACAATATTCCCTATTTCTATTAATTAATTTTATTTATTAACACTCAAAAGAGATTACAATCAATACAAAAAATTATATACGATACTGAATAAAGGGAATTTAATAAACTCACTATTATTCGCTTTCGACAATTATTTCTTCATCTGAAAGTCTTTTTTACGAAAATTTATATACATATAAGTATACAACAACCTTGTTGGCCTAACGGCTTAAACATCGCTTCATCTACCAATGGTCGCCGGTTTGAACCCGACATAATAGAAACATTTGCATTTATACTTATGACTATTTGTATTGATTTGAGTGTTTTCTGTATATAATTTCTGTAAAAAAAAATATACTTGAGTTTTGACTATCAATTGTTTAGCATCCATAATACAATAAGTTCCCTTTGTTGAGGCAGATGGCGCTATGTAATATATTCATTGTTATTTATTTATTTCTACTGATTTTACGTAACAGACACATTTTAGAAAATAATAGCTTTATCACTAAATAAAAGTATTTTAAATTATCTCCGCAACTAAGGATTAAGTGGAATATTAATATGTAACATTTTTAATATTGTTTGTATACCTAAACTGAATTTAATATCTGCTTATAGCCAGATAGTCACTTAAGTGTTTGAGCAACCACTTATCTCTTAGTATTCCATCTTAAGTAACAGAGGGAGGCAGAATTTAAGTGAACAATTTTAAGTGAATATAGCTTTGTATCAAATTATTTTCATAATAACATTGCCAACTTAATTTCCAGCCTAAAATAATTATCTATTAATCCCGTGTCGATTTAAGGTGAGTGCCATATTCCTTTTTTTTATGAAAGAATGAAAGAAGTACCTATTTTTTATGTTTTGCTTTTAACAAGACAACAAAATTATATTTTATTTTACTTGTACTGTATATTCAATGGAACATTGGAAATATGCATTTATAATTTTTACACCAGACAAATTTATTTTATTGATACATTAATGAAATATAATACTATAATGTACTAGTTTTTATTCAATATTTTATAATTCAGCTAATCTGATATTTCCTTTTCTGGAATAATGTAAATAATATTGCATTGTCTATAAAGTAAATAAAAGAAAATACTACATAAATATATAACATGAGTCAATAATTTCGTTAATACATAATGAATATACAATAGGATAACGAAAACAAACCTATCAAAACATCCTTTGATAATTACTAATAAACACAATACGACGCGTTGTTACCATAACAGCCAGAATTCAAGTGTAAACTAGTAAATATTTATCAAGCGTGTTTCACGGTTGAACCACCAAGGAGAAGATACTCTGAATGACAGTGTTATTTTCCATCACAAGACTCCTGATAGCTTCGCCTCGCTTTGTCCTCTGGGAAGCGCGGATAGGACGAGACGCTGTGGGAATCGAATCAATTTGTCGAAGCAACATTGCTGTTTCGATCTTCTTCGACTACAGCTACATACGAATGCTTATCTGGAATACAGTCTGTAATGAATAACAGATAGCGGGTTCGAATGCAAAGAACGTATCAAGCGACCTTTTGACCTTTCATTATCTGTTTATAAATTTACCCTTTCGATTATAGTACTGGTATTGTAATCTATATTATATAAAAAATAATGTAATAAATATATGATATAGTTCTATAGAAAATAATTTCAATTATGGCAAATTGAATATGGAATCAAGATATAAATATGAAAAATAATCATCAAAATCGGTGCAGAATATTTTTTTTATACAACTTAGAATGGCAAACAAGCTGACGGCCCACCTGATGTAAAGTGGTAACCGTCGTCTATAGACATAAGCAGTACCATGGACATAACAGAGTATACTGTTTCACCCATGATACCCCCCCATGCGTTGCCATTCCTGAGGACTCAGGTGTTATTTCTCTGTACCCAGTAAATCCACGCCATATCCCACCCTTCAAATCGAAACACAACCATGCAAACACAACTGCTTCACGGTTGAAACACGAATGGGACAGAGGTACCCAAACAATCGATTTTTGTACTTTTGTATAATCTTATTTACATTGTAGTATACACAAAAAAGTAGTGAAATAAAGAACTTCTTCCTTTTTGGAGTCCATTTAAAATATTGATAAATTACATACATACCTGCATAGGAGTACAACTATCTACAATTATCGTAATACATCTATTATTATATATGGGAAAGAACTTTGTACAAATATTCGGATGTTTATTACTCAGTTACGCTTAAACGCCTGAACAAATTTACATAAACTTTGATACACAGATTAACTATGCCCTAATTTAACATGTAGGGTACTTATTATCTTTAATCAGTACCCTATATGTTAAATTATTCATCATCATTTTATTCATTATCTGTTCACTGCTGGACTTAAATAATGCAGATTAAATCACAGTAAAGTAAGTATTATACACGATACAGCTAATAAACTGTCTAAAATTCGAAGCACTATTCTAAAGTGCTCCAGTAAATGTCCTTTAAAGTTTGTAAGTCGTTTATTCACGATTTTCTTTTTAAATAGGCATATTAAAACAATTGTAAATTATATGAACATCAAGCGATAGCAAATGGAACAAATATGTGGCTGGCAGGCGGCTCGCGCCTGGGGCTCCGTGCACTTGCCAAATGTGTTATCGGATAGCGCCAGAACACCCAGAACATTGTAACAAATTTATAACCACCCTATTAGCACTAAATCTAAACATTAACCCGATTCCAGTAACCGATCTTCAGCTACTTGCCCGGAATGTCGGTCACGGAAGCAAATTATTTCATAAATTCCACAGGCTCAGCCAATCTTCAACGTAATAAAGATTTACGAACACAAAATGTGTGTACAAACTTATTATTATCATCACCATTTGTAGTATAGGCATTCATAAGCATTTTATATAAGTATTCATTAAGCGACTGAGTGAAAACCACAATATAAAAGTATAAACTGAAATAATTCATTGCAAAAACAATAAGAACAGAAATGCATAAAAAATATGCTAGAATCATAAAATGTGCTCGAATAATCTGTAAGAATTGAAGAGATAATTATTCAGTATGATATAAAATTAAATATGTTGGACTTGTTAGAAAAACAAAAATGTATCTTCTCTTTAAAAATTATCCACAATATTTATAAAATACTTGACCTGAAAATTTTCGCATCCTTTTTCAATTTTTTGTCGCCATATTTTTCCCAGAAAAATGATCATTTTCACATTTAAAAACTTCTTGAAAAGAATACTAATTATATCAAATTCGTCCTGTAATAATAATTATATTATAACCGGTTTTGTAAAATATAGACAACGTTTAATGCTAATTATTTTATTTTTAGAACACATCCGTAAAAAATTACGTATTATTTTTTTTTATACAACTTAGAATGGCAAACATGCTGACGGTCCACCTGATGGAAAGTGACAACCGTCGCTTATAGACATGAGCAATACCATGGACATAACACAGTATACTGTTTCGCCCAGGATACCCCCCATGGGTTGCCATTCCTGAGGACTCTGATGTTATTCCTCTGTCCCCTGTAAATTCACGCCATATTCCACCCTTCAAACCGAAACACAGCCATGCAAACACAACTGCTTCACGGTAGAAACACGAATGGGATAGAGATATCCAAGCAATCGACTTTTGTACAAAGTCTCCCTCTGGTAAAAAAAAATATTTATACAAAAATGATTACAGTTGGCAACATATTTAATTACATTTATTATAATTAATTTTTTATTTGGTCAGCATATTGAAATATGTATGAAGAAAAATTGATAGTCCCTCGTCCAACAATAGTGGATCGCCAATTCACCAAGCCGTTACTGTGTGGTCCGGGACCATGCGATATTTGGCCGTCTGTCGCTGAAGCTCTCTCAAAACCAGTTTTATCACCACTGTGTGATGAATTATTCGATGTAAGTAAAACTACAATACTTCATATTGTGTAAATAAAAGAATGCCTGATATTTTTATACTATGCACTATACTATAATATTATAAAAAGATTTGATTGTTTCTTTGTAATGGACAAAGTTAAAAACTACTCAATCGATTTTAAAAATTAATTTACATATAAAAAATTACGTTATCAGCGGCTAACATAAGCTATATATTAATTTCGAAAATTTTATCTTCCCACGCAAAATCAGACTGGACTTAATAGTTTTAGTATACATTTAATCTACCTAAGACGGCAACAGTACTCTCTAATACAAACAAACTCAGCTTAGTCTGTGACTGGATGGCGCTGTTACGTCTAGGGTAAAAATACTTCCTGCATCATAATGTACTTAGTATATACATATATTTACGTGGCATGTATATATAAGAGATTGTATGCAAGTTTGTTTATATGAGGAACATATATCCTTTTTATTTTATCTTACCTTTATGTAGTAAAGTAGTATTTTTTTATAAAATAAAAAGGATAAATACTTATAAATTTCAAAAATGGAGAACTCCTTGTTTATAATTTTTTTTTAAATATTATGCGCTTTTTTCGCCTTTTATTTACAAATTTGATGATAGTTTTATTAATTAAAAGTATATACTCTTATGTTAAAATTATGGTTTTATAAGGATTGAAATTAATAAGGTTTTTGAAAAAAAAAATTTATAATTCGTGTTTTAATTTTCAGGTAATGGATGACATCCGCGCTGGTTTACAATATCTTTTTCAAACTAAAAGCAAACTAGTACTTGCTATTAGTGGTTCTGGACATTCTGGGATGGAAACGGTTATAAGCAACATAGTTGGTCCAAATGAGACGATTCTCATATGCTGCAGGGGTATTTGGGATGACAGAGCATTGGAAATGTCCAAAAGATACGGTAAGAAATTACCTACTCTAGTTTTGCAAGTAAATATATCAACCGTAATGCAGTTGTATTTGCATGGGTATGTTTTGGGTTTGAAGGGTGGAATATGGCATGAATTTACAGGGTACAGAGGAATAATAATAGAGTCCTCAGGAATGGCAACGCATGAGGGGTATCATGGGCGAAACAGTATACTCTGTTATGTCTATGGTACTCATGTCTATAGGCGACGGTTGCCGCTTTCCATCGGGTGGACCGTCGCGGCGTCGGCTTGTTTTCCATTCTAAGTTGTATAAAAAAATATATACTGTCCAGCTGATTCTTTTGTCATGCTAATTAAATTTTACTGACCTGCTTAACCCTGGTTTATAGTTATATCGAGTGCTTTTTTCCATATGCAGGATTTATACTTAGATACTAATATTTATCCATTATCAGGCTTTTTTCCGATATTTTAGGTTACATATTAAAACATACTATATACTTTTACAATTATAGTTAGTTATAATTACTAGTATATTTTTACAATCCGTTTTAATCTTAATTCCTATATCTTGCTTGTTGCAACATTCATATCTTAATCTCCAATTATCATAATCCACAAACATTAATATCTTATTTTAAATTACCTTTATTTTGGTGCTCGTCCTTTTTCATAGTACGTCCCTTTGATGATTTAATAACACTATTTATAATTTCTGAAGAAAAAAAAATGTTTTTAAAATTTACAATATTCATATAGATACAAAAAACTTCTAAATATATAATCAGATATTAAAAATGGCACTCGCAATCATTGAGGTGTCAAAAGGTTTTTATTAATAAAAGTTTATAACTCGTATTACGTGTGACACTTTAATATTGTTATTATTATATCATATATTAATAACAAGTTATAATATTAACAAAATTTTTATCTAATAATTTATTACACTTTTTATTTCAGGTATCAAAACAAAAGTACATCGTATTCTATTTAATAATACTTTTAGCTTGACCCTTATTGAAGGTATAGTGAAGATACTACGACCTAAAGCGTTATTTATCACTCATGGTGATTCTTCTACAGGATCTGTGCAGAAACTAGAGGGCCTCGGAAAACTATGTCACAAGTCAGTAACTTACATTAGGAAATATTAACTATTCCTTTTTTCTTTTCATTCACACATACAAACTAATTGTAAATAATCAAAACTCTTCACTTATCTAAAATTATGTACACCGATAAAGTTAGACAAAACAAATATCTCCTTCAAATGTTAAATAGTAGAGGAAATCCGAGCAGGATCATCGCCTTAAGGTTTGGAGAATTATAAAACATAGAAATAAAACTATTTATCTATAGAAACCAGCATTAATTAAAATTTTTAATAAAATCAAGAAAAGTTACGTAACCTACATATTTAAATTAAAAATATTTCTTGCTTATTCACTCCGATGGGGAGCAAGTTTTTTCAAGTAAAGAGCCTAACTAACCGAGAGCCTACTATTCTATTGAAAGCAAATACTGCAAAAGGATATATAAAGGAGACGGTATATAAGTTTTTTTTTACATAAACATTATGTTATCTTTGATGGATACGTTATCCGTTTTGCCCGGTTCACTTTGTCTATTGATATTTTATAACGTAATCTGATTTGAAATAAATTTTAATTATAGCAACATTATCATAACACACCTTATATCAACATAAAAACAATTACTTTAAGAGTAAATGCTATTACCATGATTAATTGAATTTGAGTGAATTTTGATGAGTTTTGGTAGAATAACTTGCTTTAAATTATTATGAGAAAAATCCATAATTTTGATTTTCGGCGAAAAACAACGCGAACTTAGACTTATTGAGTTATTTGTTATTAAGAAAATAGCTTCTGCTTCTTAAAGGAGCAAGGCTGTAGGACTAGGACTGGTCGTTTACGAATAAGGGAGGAATATTTATTTTTATTGGCACTGTTCGCTATGCCCGGATTTTCTCTAGCTAGTTTAAACGTAAACTCTTGACGTAATATTATAAAATAAATATATCAAAATTTGTAAACATTTTTTAAATGCTGTCTGTAATCCTGCAAAATTTTATGTTGACACTCCGAATTGAAATTTAGTTAGAAAACCAAACATTGTAACGCATTTTACATTTAGATATAATTTATGTTAATCGACATTACCTATATCACTTAAATTTTAAATAGAAACTTCCATTTTATATTTAGCTGGAATCCAAAATAAACTCATTACAGCCTACGCTAGGCTAAAAATTTATAATGTTAATTTTCAGCCTTAAGTAGGCTGGAATGAGTTTATTTTGGATTCCATGTTATTACACGCAATTGTGAAATCTATTTAAATTTACATTTGTGACATATGTCATTACTATACTTCTTTGTTATATATGAGTATTCTACTTCAAAGTTTATTTAATAATAATAATGATGTTTTATAACTTTAAAAAAAAATATACTTTGCAAATTATAATATACGTACATTAATTTAAACTTATATAATTTTTTAAATAACAGCACTAACACTTAATTATAAATAGTCTCCCAAAGTATTCTACTTTATTTATTTATTATTTTTGAGGAAAGCATACAGCTATAACTTAACTAATATACTAACTTAATAATTAATTATGTATGACAACAAAAAACTCATTAAAAGCTACCACATATAGTTACAAAAATTGAATTACTTACAGTCTAGGTAATTAATAAGTGTGCAAACACAAGCCAAATGTCATTAAAATCACGAATGAATTATTTGCGATGTCTTTTCTTATATAACTGCTGTTACTATTAAATATATCCATTTCGTTATCCCTACTATATACACCATTAAAAATATTAATAATTCTTTTTATTTAAATTATAATATTTTTTTTTTTTCTATTAAATAGATATGGCGCACTGTTATTAGTGGACACGGTAGTTTCCCTCGCAAGTGAGCCGTTCTTCATGGACGAATGGGGTGTAGACGGAGTTTACTCCTCGACCCAAAAAGGACTCAGTGGACCGGCGGGTATATCACCCATTGCGTTCAGCGAGCGAGCACAGTGAGTTTCATTATATTAAACTACCCGCGACTTAATCCGCATGACCAAGACATATTATGTAATTACTAAGTAGTAGCAAGATAAGAAGAAATATATATTTTCTATACCAAATACCAAATCATGTCATAATTATTTATTTATTATATTATTAAACCAAATTTTATGACAAAAAAATAAATTTTATGACTCTCTTTTTTGTATTTATGGACTAGCTGTATCCTACGGTTTTGCTTCCGCGAATCACTATAAAAAGTAAGTTCAGTAGTTTTTGCGTGAAAGAGTAAAAAACATCCATCCATCCTTATAAACTTTCGCATTTATAATATTAATAGAAAATATGTAATACGAGCTGACCTGGTAAATGTTGATCTGTTCTCTATTGTCACTTGGTCTATTTTTACTTATCGAGATAAAACTATCCTACCTTCAAATTGAAGTCTTCAAAGTGAATACACATTTACAAAATTTTATTAATTTCTAGATTCGAAAGGTAAACGAAATTTGTGACAAGAGATTTTGAAATATTAAGACATTAGTATATTTAAATATATGAGTATAACTAACGTCTATGTAATTAAATCTATATTTTATATATTAAATTTTTTTCTGGAAGAAAACTCTTTAAGCATTAGAATCTTGTAGATCTATACTTGTATACTAAAAAACAAATAAATAAAAAAATATTTCTGTTGTTTCAGAGAAGTCATTAAAAAGAGGAACTTTAAACCACCGTTTTACTTCGACATTGAATTGTTAGCGGCACAATGGAATTGCTTTGGAAATACAAGACAGTACGTACCTACTTAATTTATTTGTAAAAGCAAAGTATGGTCTGTTTTAGTATTTAGTATTTCTTTGCCACAGAAACACTCTCTAATCAAAATTGGTAACAAATAAAGACATTCAATCGATGTGTAGCAGTGCGTTAATCACAGATGCACTTTAAATAAATGTCTTCGTAGAAAACGAACATTTCGTTCATGTACAATTTTTTTTTTTGTTTAAATTGCTTTAAATTTTGTTCCAATTGCTAGAAGTAGGTAATATAAAGCAGTATCTATATATTTTAGTTATTATATCTATATACTGGTTCAAAAACGAATATACTTAGTCTGCTGACTAAACAATAATTATGGATAACAGACATTTAACATATTCGAAAATAGATAGCTGACCGATATGGGCGATATCGTAATGGGTGATGACCTTTTTTCTGCCATCAATATTCAGAAGAACCCAATATATAGATGTCGTATCGGCATCTACATTATCCATGCCTACCACTCGCATAATATGTATGCATTGTAGTATGCAAATTATTTTATTTTATTAAGACCACACTAAATTTTATTTTCTCGTACGTTAAAACTATAAGAAATATAAAGCAAAAATTTTTCTGCAAACTGTGTGTGTCTGTACAAACTATTATTACTACAAAATTATACTTAACTGCTAACTCAATGTCATTTAATATAATGTGTTATTTTATAGAAGATTTATATAATAAAAATATATCAACAGATATCACCACACTCTCTCTCCACCACTACTATGGGCACTGCGAAGCTGTCTAAAGGAGGTAATCAATGAGACTCTGCCCAAAGTGTGGGCCCGCCATGCTGAAACCACAGCTCACTTCCATAAACGCATTGAACAACTATCTCTCGAGCTTCTAATTCCCAAACCTGAAGACCGACTAGTGACTGTGACGACTGTGGTTTTACCAAAAGGTTATGACTATATGGAGTTTGTAAAATATATGAGAAATAAGTGAGTACTGATATCATTATATTATATTATTACGTACTTTAAATCAAAGAGAAGTAATTTAATTGTTCTATAATTATCCCAAGGTTTTTACAGAGGTACAAAAGTCATTTGTTTGTATACCTCTATCCTACTAGCGTTGTTTCTATTTGAAGAAAAAAATCAAAAAAGAGTAAAATATAACAATGAAATTACAGAGTACAAAAACTTTACATCGTGGTCGTTAGGAATAACAAAGAATGAGAGATACCATAAGTATCAAAATGTGTTCTATGATTTTTATAATGCTATTCATGTCTGTAAGTAACGATTATTAGTTTTCATCAGACGCGTTGACAGTTTGTATAGCGTTTAAAGTTGCATTAAAATTATTATTTTACTTCTTTAGTACGGGCACCACTTTCACATATCTATCCTTTCTTAATATTATAATTAATTATAATAGCACCATACAATCACACGAATTGCCTGGCTTAGAACCATATTATCCCTTCTTACTATAAAAAAAAATATACCACAAAGGTGGCAAACAAACATACAGCCCGTCTGATGGTAAACGGTCACTGTAGCCTATGGATGCCTGCAATATGTGATGAACAAACACATGATACATAACTATAGAATTTGAGGATTGCCTTCGATTTCCCTTGAATTCCATCATCAGTTCCTGACTCGGTGACAATGAAACCACCTCAGAAGTATATTCTTTCAAATAAAAAAGTTTTAAAATCAGTCCACAGTTAATGAAGAAATCTATGGATGTATATATAAAAAATATACAGTCGAACACAGAACCTCCTCCTTTTAAAAAACGGTTGAGAATATACAAGTAACATACTTTCTTTTTACAGACACAACATCCTGATATTTCCTGGTCTAGGACCCACAGTTGGGAAGGCACTCCGCATCGGTATCATGGGTGTTAATTCTACTATACAAGTTGCAGATGCTATAGCGGACGCCATGGCAGATACACTGATTGCTCTCAAGAAATCTTCACTGTAAATTTTGTATCTACTATACAAATTATGGCAATCTACTGATGGTTCAATCCGTGATAATCAATAATAATCCATATACCCATAAATAAAAATTAATTGCCGAATACGTAAACTCTTTAGAAAGGCTGCATCTATTGGGATATTCTTTTTTTTTTTTGTTGTATTTGTAATTACCAGGATAAGATTTGTATGAAAAAGTTTGGGTTAAAAAATCTTTATATATAAACTGAATGAATAAGTGAGAGAGAAGTTTAGTTAGTTTTCTCATTAGTACACCCGTGTGAAGACAAGGTGTGTAGCTAATAAATATAAAAATACCGCTGGGGTCATTACACAGCGCCATCTAGATCTAAACTAAGCAGAGACTAGTTGTAGTACTGGGAGTACTAGTCAACTAATAGAAGTAAGTAAATGTATTTCTTTGTAAATATGTAATATTTATAATAGTTATTGTTCTGAAATAATATTTCAATTAAATTAATGAAAATTTCTTTCCTGACAACGCGTGGTTAATGAACTCAAGAAAATTAAGAATTCATGTGAATGTTTATATATTTGTATAACTTCTTACATGTTGATAAATACTTTGATATTATAATAATATTGTTTTTATTTGTATTTTATTTCATAACAGAACTGTGTTTGTAAACTATATTTGTTTGTTTATTAATAGAATATATCTAATTTATTGCAAGAATAAAAATCCTTATTCTTATAAAAAATTCATTATCACTTTTTTTATCAAAGAGCTATTTCTTATCAAAGATCAGTAAGTAGTCGATGTGGTGACGACGACGGTGATTGTTGGTGATGATGGCATGATGAATTACGTTATATATAAATTATAGCATTACCATTCATTTCACCCCAGGGGACTTATATACAATGCTTAAAAAACTAAACAAGTTTGGGTGTCTTTAGTACAGGTGATTTTAGTATCAATTTGCAAGGCAGCTCAATTTAATATCATAACATTGTAGTTCTCAAAAATGGCTAAGCGTGACGGGTAACACAGACATAATAGTGTGTTCAGTTATATTCATAGTCGTATACATGTCTTTAAACAATGGTTACCACTTTACATTAAATGAGCCATTAGCTTGTTTTTCATTCTAAGTATGATAAAAAAAACTCTCAAATTATCGTAAAAAGTGACTAAAAGAATAAAGATCGAAAAAAAAAGCAACTCGAAATGAAAGCCAAAATACGAGGCCATGGCACTCAATAGTAGGCTAGAATCTTTCTCTTATGGAGAAAACTCCTATCCAGCAGTAGTACACCGATATTAAAGTAAAAAAAAAATTCGTCTAAATAGATATACACATCACAAGGAATGGCAATGCATGAAGTCTTTGTAGAGTACGCTGTGATATCATGTCTATAGATGATGATTACTATTTACCATCAGGTGGGTTGTAAACTTGTTTATCACTCTAAATTGCCTAAAAATTATTAAATATCATCTTTCAAGATAAAAAAATAAGAAATAATAACATACCTTTTACCAGACTTACTACTTACTTCACTTATATCAAATAATTCATCACACAATGGTGATAAAACTGGTCTTGAAAGATCTTCAACGACAAACGGCCAAATATCGCATGGTCCCGGACCACACAGTAACGGCTTGGTGAATTGGCGATCCACTATTGTTGGACGAGGGACTATCAACTTTTCTTCATACATATTTCAATATGCTGACCAAATAAAAAAACAATCGTAATAAATATAATTAAATATGTTGCCAACTGTAATCATTTTTGTATAAAAAAATTTGTTACCAGAGGGAGACTTTGCACAAAAGTCGATTGCTTGGGTACCTCTGCCCCATTCCTGTTTCAACCGTGAAGCAGCTGTGTTTGCATGGCTGTGTTTCGGTTTGAAGGGTGGGATATGGCGTGAATTTACTGGGTACAGAGGAATAACTACTGAATCCTCAGGAATGGCAACACATGGAGGGTATCATGGGCGAAACAGTATACTCTGTTATGTCCATGGTACTGCTCATGTCTATAGGCGACGGTTACCACTTTCCATCAGGTGGACCGTCGGCTTGTTTGCCATTCTAAGTTGTATAAAAAAAAATACCTACGATGAAGCACAAGAATAAGAGCAGCGTCCTTATGGCTATAGTAAGGTCAATATTTGAGCCGTTATCGATTTCAGAGATTAAAAGAGAGATTATGTATATGGCAATATAGTTTTATTTTTATATAAAAAGATTAGATTATCAATTCGACAGATCGAACCTATTAATCTATCTGTTTATGGCGAGTTTTGATTTATACTAATATAATAAAATTGTAACAACTTTATGACGTCTGTATATAGGAGATATTTAAAAATATATATGTATAAGGGCCCCCCCTTATACATATATATTTTAAATATATATGTATAAGGGGGGGAGGGGGGTCTTAATAAGAGCAACAGAAAGTAAAAGAATATTTTTTAGAAATTTTGTCTGTTTGTCTATACGTTTGTTCCGGTAGGTATCATACAAAATTAGTGCAGTAGACTAAATTGGATATGATTTCACAGCTGTATTCTTGAACATCTAACTTAAAAAACGTTTATCTTAATAAGTCAACTAGAAATGATCTACTTCGTTGATTTTTCTACATCTAAATTCCAAGTGAACAGAGTAGCAAGCAAGCAAGCAAAATGCTAGTATGTTATAATACGTTGTAATCAACAGATAAGAGTTTTTTCCTGTAAAAATATTTCTGACCTGTGTGTAGTCCAGTTTATAACAGGCCTTCGTTAAAAACAGTGGTTTTTCTGAAGACTCCTTCCGAACAAAACTACCGTCATATATTATTTATTCCAAATAAATTTAAGGTAAGTGATTTTTGGTTGAAATATTACAAAACAGGCAATATTTTCATACTTTGTTTAATTGCCAATTGTTTATACATAAATAAATAATTTATTTTTATTTCTTAATAAGTAGTTTAAAATGTAAAAATGACTCTTTATTTATAACATTGATTAAAAGTTTTGTTTTATTTTGTAGTCTATATAACACCGACAAATAAAAATTTATTTTCGACATTATCGATAATAATATCCATTTTATGGGTATTAGATAAGTTCCATTTACACATGGATGAAGTCAGGAAAGTTGTCTTATAGTTGTGAGTGCGGACTATATGGAGATAGAGGCCGACTACTCACTGATAGAGAAGACTAGCAAATAATCCCTTCCCTTCATTAGTAACTTTAAATATTTAATACTTATTTGTTTTATAAGGTAGCGATCTTCTATGAATAGATTCTCCACAAATCAAATGGGAATTTAGATTTTTCCCAAACAGAGCTGCATTTTCATACCTAATGAATAGCTGGAAAATATATAAACCATACAAAACATAAAAGAAAATCTAACAGTCCGGGTAAATTTTAAGTCACAATAGACTTACTGTTTAGACTTCATCCTCATCTATCCTTATACATTAGTACCCTGCCAAGCTATACTGATAGTATAGATAGAGTTACAATTCCATTTTATTTCATAATAAAATTCTAACCTGGAGAAGGGAAAACAATTATTATTCTCAAGCCGACCTTCATGCAGTCCTCTTTGAAAACCTTCGCGGATAATTCCTACTAAATTAATCAACCAACATGACTTCTTCCTTATCATTTCATCCGCCACTGGAATTTTATTCAATCTTTATGCATAAAAAATGAAACTAAAGTCGTTAATGACGATATATGATATATTTTTTAACTTAAAATACAGTATATATTGACTGGAATGTTCAAATGAAAAGAATATAGGTATCAAGCGACCTTTCAACCTTTTATTATCTATCACCCAATACCCATGGGAATATGTCGGAAATTTTGGGCAAAGGCCCCATAAGATTATTGATAACATATTGCTATTCGAGCCAAATATGTTATTGTCTAAAGACATAGTTATTGTAATGTAAAATAAATAAAAATACGTTTCTAACTTCACAAATTGAAAATTCTTTGCTATTTACCTTTACTATTTCTGCAATGCAACAATGCGTACTTTTTACAAATAATAAAATATTTTTTTTTGTTATACATATAGAAAATAGCTCAAATTTAATATCGCTGAATTGTTCTCAAATTATTTTTGTGACGTTTGAAGTTGGTTACTTTATCAAAGTCCTTCTTGTCTACTATTGAAACCACTTTTTATAAAACAAAATTTATATATCATTACAGTACAAATGCTATATATTTCTAGTTTTATTTCTACTTATATGAATGTATAAATATACATATATAGATTTTCTCTAGATATTACAGCATGGGGTTCTTCAAAATGGACTCAATAAGCTTTCTTAATGGTTGGCAGCGTGCACGTGACTACTCTAATATTGCAGGCGTTCATAGGTTACGGTAATGTAACCGTTTACCATCAAATGAGTGTCATATATCTGTTACCCATAATCGAAAAAAAAATTACCTAGTATGAATAATAAATTTTAAAATATATTTATTTGATCAGCTCGTTGTAACAAGATGTATGAAGAAAACCTAATAGTTTCTGCTCCAAAAATAGAAGATCGTCAATTGAAAAAACCATTATTCTGTAGTCCGGGTCCATGTGATATATGGCCTTCTGTTGTAGAAGCTCTCACAAAACCAATTATGTCACCATTTTGCGATGAACTATTTAATGTAAGTAAATATAATTAACATGTTTATATTTATTCGCCTTTAATTCTATGCCATAACTTCAACTATTATTTTAGGTCATGGACGATATACGCGCTGGTTTACAATATCTTTTTCAAACTAAAAGCAAACTAGTTCTTGCTGTGAGTGGTTCTGGAAACTCTGGAATGGAAGCTCTTATAAGTAATTTAGTCGGCCCTAAGCAAACGCTTCTCTTATGCAACCGGGGACTATGGGATGACAGAGCATTGGATATGGCCAAGAGATATGGTAATTTTGATGTTTAGTCTTGTAATTTAATAATGAACGTTCATTCTGAAGTTACAATTAATCGAATCCCTCTTAATCAATATCAGTAACGATAATTATGACGATCCTAGCTTTCTATATAAAACTGAATGCGACACGTGTGTAAATCATCCGAATTTTAAATATCGAACGATGAGCCATTACTCATTATTAATAACGACTCAAAATCAAAAGTCAGTTCCAGGTTATTTTTAAATTCTATTCAATGCCCAAAACAAATGTAACAACTTTCCTAAAAATTAACTGGGAGATAATCAATCATTTATAAAATTAAATCCGTCTTTTGTACCAATTTTTTTTTTTATTATTATCAATAAAGAATAAATAGATAAATTAATACTAAAACGGAATAACATGTAACCACATCATAAATGAAACTTTACAGAAAGATGTAGTAAAGTTATATCGTCACAAAAAGTATAATATAATTTGTTTTTGTTGGATATATATGGATATATATGTTTTACCAGAGAGAGACTTTATATAAAAGTCGTTTACTTGGACACCTCTGTCCCATTAGTATTTCTACCATCAAGCAGTTGTGTTTGCATGGCTATGTTTCAGTTTGAATGGTGGGATATGGTAGTGAATGTACAGGGTACAGAGGAATAACACCTGAGTCCTCAGTAATGGCAACGC